GAAGCAGCCACCTTATTTCGAGAATCAGAAATACCCTGATAAGGTATTGAAACTCAATAAGTCACTTTATGGTTTAAAGCAGAGCGGCCGAGAATGGAATGCGAAATTAGATAATGTGCTGAAAAGTTATGGATTTGCACCATGTTTATCTGAACCATGTATCTACACAAAACAACAACACGGAATTTATAACGTAATTGTAGTCTACGTTGATGATTTAATTGTTGGAAGTAACTCGCTGCATGAGTTGAGCAAGACAAAGAAAATGCTTGCTAGTGAATTTGAAATTGTTGATGGTGGCGAACTGTCATACTTTCTAGGCATGGAGTTTAACCGTGAAGGAGATCTTGGTCCAATAACAATATCACAAAAGCAATATATATTGGATATATTAGAACAATACAGTATGTTGGAATGTAAAGAAGCATCAACACCATTGGATCCTGGATTTAAAGTAAATTGCAATAATGAAGACTGCAGGCGAATAGAAAAACTAGATTATCAATCAGCCATAGGAACTCTTATGTATTTGGCATTGTCTACTCGCCCGGATATACTTTTTTCAGTAGTAAAGTTATCACAAATGAACTGTGATCCACATTCGGAGCACGAGACAGCTTATAGACATATTATCAGATATTTGAAAAAGACTATAAATTACAAGCTGTGCTACGAGAAAACAGGAAAGTTTTGTGGATGCTGATTGGGCTGGAGATGCGGTGGATAGAAAATCATTTTCTGGATACGTGTTTGTTATAGCAGGTTGTGTATTTGCTTGGAGTGCGAAAAAGCAAAATGTGGTATCGTTGAGCACAACCGAAGCCGAGTACATCGCCATGTCAGGAGCTGCAACTGAAGCTGTGTATATTCAAAAGGTGTTATCTGAGTTGAATTTTTCTCAAGAAGGTCCTATAGCAATGTACAACGACAATCAAAGCGCACAATGTCTTATCAGAAATCCTACATATCATGCAAAGAGCAAGCACATTGCAATCAAGTACCATCACATTCGGGACATGGTATCTAAAGGAGAAATTGATGTCAAATATATACCGACCAATGAAATGATGGCAGATATTCTTACTAAGAATTTGTGCAAAGTAAAACATTATAAGTTTGTTAATTCTATGGGGCTTCTTGAAATAATTTAATTATATAAAAAGAGAATAGAGTTAAAATTGTGTTGAGAAGGAGTGTTGAAAATATGCAACACAATTGTTAAAGTAACGTAGTATGCGTTGTTTGAAAGTATGATGAAATGTTTATGTTTTTTCTCTGTTTGCAACTTAGTAGCCTTTGCCCAATACATATTTTCTGGTTTGATATTACATTGTAATTGTTTTTCCAATTTAGTCTCTATTGAATTTTCTTTCCGTCAACATTAATAAATATTCTATTTAAAGTTTGTCTGTGTGTTTGTTTTTCTGCCAGCTGCCTTAGAGGATTTCCAATAATAATTTTTTAAAAATCCACGTCTGTGTTGGTCCTTGAAAAAATAATTTTTTAAAAATCCACGTCTGTGTTGGTCCTTGAAAAAATAATTTTTTAAAAATCCACGTCTGTGTTGGTCCTTGAAAAAATAATTTTTTAAAAATCCACGTCTGTGTTGGTCCTTGAAAAAATAATTTTTTAAAAATCCACGTCTGTGTTGGTCCTTGAAAAAATAATTTTTTAAAAATCCACGTCTGTGTTGGTCCTTGAAAAAATAATTTTTTAAAAATCCTCGTCTGTGTTGGTCCTTGAAAAAATAATTTTTTAAAAATCCACGTCTGTGTTGGTCCTTGAAAAAATAATTTTTTAAAAATCCACGTCTGTGTTGGTCCTTGAAAAAATAATTTTTTAAAAATCCACGTCTGTGTTGGTCCTTGAAAAAATAATTTTTTAAAAATCCACGTCGGTGTTGGTCCTTGAAAAAATAATTTTTTAAAAATCCACGTCTGTGTTGGTCCTTGAAAAAATAATTTTTTAAAAATCCACGTCGGTGTTGGTCCTTGAAAAAATAATTTTTTAAAAATCCACGTCTGTGTTGGTCCTTGAAAAAATATTTTTTAAAAAAATCCACGTTTGTGTTGGTCCTTGAAAAAATATTTTTTTAAAAAAATCCACGTTTGTGTTGGTCCTTGAAAAAAATATTCTTTAAAAAATCCTCGTTTCTGTTGGTTCTTAAAAAAATATTCTTTAAAAAATCCTCGTTTCTGTTGGTTCTTAAAAAAATATTCTTTAAAAAATCCTCGTTCCTGTTTGTTCTTAAGAAAAATATTCTTTAAAAAAATCCACGTTTGTGTTGGTCCTTGAAAAAATATTTTTAAAAAAAATCACGTTTGTGTTGGTCCTTGAAAAAATATTTTTTAAAAAAATCCACGTTTGTGTTGGTCCCTTTCAAAAATATTCTTTAAAAAATCCACGTTTCTGTTGGTCCTTTTCAAAAATATTATTTAAAAAAATCCACGTTTGTGTTGGTCCCTTTCAAAAATATTGTTTAAAAAATCCACGTTTCTGTTGGTCCTTTTCAAAAATATTGTTTAAAAAATACACGTTTCTGTTGGTCCTTTTCAAAAATATTCTTTAAAAAATCCAGGTTTCAGTTGGTCCTTTTCAAAAATATTCTTTAAAAAATACACGTTTCTGTTTGTCCTTTTCAAAAATATTCTTTAAAAATCCACATTTCAGTTGGTCCTTTTCATAAATATTCTTTAAAAAATCCACGTTTCTGTTGGTCCTTTTCAAAAGTATTCTTTAAAAAACACACGTTTCTGTTGGTCCTTTTCAAAAATATTCTTTAAAAAATCCAGGTTTCAGTTGGTCCTTTTCAAAAATATTCTTTAAAAAATCCCCGTTTCTGTTGGTCCTTAAAAAATATTTTTTAAAAAAATCCACGTTTCCGTTGGTTCTTTTCAAAAATATTCTTTAAAAAATCCACGTTTCCGTTGGTCCTTTTCAAGAATATTTTTTTAAAAAATCCACGTCTCAGTTGGTACTTGAAAAAATATTTTTTTTCTCAAAGTACGAAATACAGACATCTATCCCTTTATCCTCGCAATGTGTTGACATTTCCCACTCTTCTATTCACAACGATGTAATCTGAGGACGAAAGGAAGGACACATACAATAAATATTCCCCAAGACTCATTCGACTCCTCCGCTGTTGTCACCAACAAAACCAAACATACGGAAGGTCCAATAAAAATACAAATATATTTTCTGAACTAAGACACACAGACAGGCATATGAGAAAGAGATGAGGACTATATAAATTTATTTTACGACATAATACACAAGCAACAAAAAATGCACAAGAAGATCCAATGGCAGCAGTTAATTTTAAACCACTCCATATGGACACAGAACATCATCCCACCGCACAGCCAACAACAACTTCCCATAATTTCCCAATGATATTCACATTATGACACCATTCATTTTCACATCAATCGATCGAATGAGCGAACGATCGATGCCATGAGAAGGCGAAGATTGGTAGTGATAATCCTTGGCTATTTAAAATTTATTTCATGATTTTCCCCGTAAATGGATCACTAGCGGGACGGACGACCTACAGGCACAAGCTGCCTTCACTGCAGTCCCCCTTGAAATTTCTCTCGCCACACAAACCACTTTTCTTATGTTGTTGCCTTCGGGGTGGGGGCAGCGTATGGAGTGTGGATTTTTGATACATAACCGAATGCCAAACAGGCTGCCCAGATTTAGGCAGAAGGCAATTGAAGAGCTCATAAATTCTTGTTTTTGTCAAAAAAAAAAATTGAAGAACATTTGGTTGAATGGGTAGTCCCAACACTGCACTGACTGACTGCCTCGCAGTTGTAGTTGGGGTTGGAGGAAAGAACAGGGAAAAATTATGGTTTTGAGAGTTTTGAAGTGTTAATAGGCCACTAAATATGTTTGTAATGCTTCGTTGCATGCCCCCGGGTGCCAAGGAACAACTTGTAAAACATTGTGGATTACAACCGACGCCATCGCCCGCCCCTCTCATATTCATTGGAATTTTTATGAACTTCCAACGATGCTGGGAACTTCCCCCACTTTGTCTGCCAGTATCCGCATGGCAATGGGAAATATTGATTTTTTTCTGTATCTTTTTTGTTATTGTAATGTGGAAATGATAATCATAAATAAGGTTTTAAGAGATTCAAATTTGTTTAATAAACAATTATTACATCATAAAATGCCGATACAAATGATGATGAGTTAATGCCGCAATTCCAACGATTCAGAGGCGGAAAACTGCAGTCTACACCCAATGGGTGTAATAAACATTTTATTTGTTTATTGGGTAAATATAAAACAAATGAAAGATATTAAAACTTTCGTTGGATTTGTAAAATATTGAAAATATTTTATTATTGAAAGAAGATTGAAATCAATTTTTTATTTATTCCCTTTATGTTTTAGAAGTATGTGATTCCGTATGTATCATCCCGAAATATACACCCAGAGAAAAAATGACAACATCCGTGTATGAAATGACCACATCCGTGTATGATAGTGTATCAACCACGTTTGGTGTCAAAATGAGCACGCTGTTGTCATTTTGACACCGAGATTTTGGCAACGATTTCAACAACAGATGTGCATGAAATGAGCACATACGTGGTCATTTCGAGCACGCCCCGTTGTCAGATTGTCAACGCTTCGTTGTCAGATCGTCAACGCTTCGTTGTCAGATTGTCAACGCTCCGTTGTCGGATTGTCAACGCCCGTTGTCAGATTGAAATCAATGGTGGTCATTTTTTGATATCCGTTCCTTTTCCATTTTATACCCTTAGTAGAAGAAACGACATTTTTTGAAAAGTATTTTATTGAACGAAACCAATTACATAAATTCAATATAAATACATATTTGATTTAACAAAACAATTCGAATTACATATATTCAATGTATAGAAACAAATTAAATTAACTTAAATCTGAAATAAACTTTTCCATTCCTTTTTTTTCCAATTCTGAATGACGTAAATTTTGTAAATGTTTGCTTACAGTTGTCCTGAACGCATTGTACTTTTAAAAATTTAGTGGACATTAAATGGTCTGTTTTCAAATGAGCTATTAAAAGATTTGCCTTATCAAAATGCTTACGGCAACGAAAGCAAATATACATTTTGAATTGTACTTTAATTATTGTTGCAGAAATTAATAAGTGAAGTCAAATTAACTGATTTTATATCATATACAGTATTAATTTCATAAAAATATTTTTGGATAAAAATCCATGGAATTTGGCAGGCATTTGGATATTTTAAAGAAAGTGCATGAAAAATTTTAAAACATGTATCTAAACATTCGAGGAACGATTGAAATTTTAACAAATTGTGGTTAAAAAAAACATAAAAACCTTTTATATTGAAATCGGACAAACCCTCCACAATTATAAATGGCTGTATAGTTAATCCAGCATTGTAATACTTTTCAGTGACTGTATCAATTTGCCTTTTATAATCGTTAATTGTCGGTAGTCGCAGTACGAAACTTTCCTGCGAATCAGCTATTGTTACTTTTTTTCGTAATTTACCGTTTCCACATTTAAACCTAGCAGGTGATGGTAAAACTGAATTCAACAGTATTGCGTATATATAATCTTGAGCATCTGCAACCGAAATATAAAATAAATATTACTTTTAATGTTTATGATAAATCAGGAATTAAAATTTACCTATGCTGCTTGCCGTCAAAACATTTGCGAAGAGTTGTTTGCAATGTTCGTTATGAATATTTTTCCCATAATAATTGTAAATTTTTTTCTTAAATTGGTCCCATTTAGAAAGTAGAAGATTGCCTTTCTGTGGATACATAATATCGAAATCAATGTTGACCTAAAACGAAACATTAGTATCCATATACAAATAAATAGCTCATGGCTACTTACCAATTCTGAAGCTCTTGCATCGGACAACTTCGTCCATTCAAGGAGAAATGTATGGCTACTTAAATTTTTTATATCTCTTTGCCGTATGTTAAAAGATCTTTTCCATTTTTCGCAGATCGATCCCCAATCATTACATTCTCTTAGTAAGGAAGCTTTCAATGAATTTTCAACTGATTCATCAATTTCGGGAACATCTTTGTTACAAAAATTAGGAGATGTGTGAGTTGCTGCTTTGCTTGTGCTAGGCTCGGAAATCAAAAGCTTTATTCTTTTGGACTTCTTGTTTCTATACTTGGCATAAAGTTTTCCGCTTGCGTTGTTCTTTCCTTTTCTTGAAATGTAATAATAATCCTAAAAATAAAGACATATTATAAGTTAAGAAACTACATAATCAGATACGTTGTTTATATTGTTAATCTTACCCTCATTTCGTTTTCAAGAGGAAAAACGGAACAAATTTCATCCAATATGCGCATATAGTCTTGAGTGTAAAGAGTAACATTGTTGGTTAAAATATCTTCAATAATTATATTAATTATATCATCTCTTTGCTCGTCACTTAATTTCTTATTAACGCTACTACATTCAAGCGCTAGTTTCCCCTTCGAGGTATGTGTTAACAATTCCGTTAGATCCTATATTAAATAAAAAAACTACATTAACTATGCTTACACAAATATTACTCTTACCTTACCTCTGACAAAATTCCTTTGGCTTTTGAGCAGTTCGAACCTGTAGTGTCGGGAGTACCAGGAGTACTTGCAGGTGTCTCGTTGCGTTTCCACCATTCACCTATTTTAGATGGAACTGACATAGTTTCGTCATCAATCCCGAGCTATTGTTATGACAATATTAATACTGAGTTCAACTCTGTAAAACAAATAATACGTACCTTTCGTTTTTTCCAAGCAAAGAGCTTTTCTCTGAATTCAACACGCAGTCCCAATGGTGGCACTGCTTCCTTTAAATCTTCTTTTTTCAAGTACTGCAAGCTGCGAAATGTTACATGTGATGCTAAAAGAACAAAAAAGAAAATTCTTTGTTAATTACACTGATTAACTGAAAAATTCATTTTTATTTACTTACCTTTTAATTGTTCAAAAAGCGACTCCATATTTATTCCTTTTAAGAACTCCCTTAACATATAATCGTCCTCATTGTTTTCCGCATCTTGACTGCTGCAATGGTTTGTATCGCGAACCACAACAATATTGCCATCGATTTCTAACAACTCACCAATGATATTTTGAGGATCTTGCGAATTATTATTCATTTTCAATAAATTTTTTGCACAATGCGTCCTTTCTCTTTCAATAACACGGAAAAAAATGGTAAATATGCAGCCGATTGCACACGAGTAAAAAAAATGACAACGGTGGTGCATGATTCATACACGGTAGTTGCTAAAATGGCAACGATCGTGTACGATTCATGCACGTCGGTGTACAAAGTAACAACGGTGGTGCATCATTATGCAGGTGGTGGTGCATAATTCATACACGACCGGTGTCATATTGACAACGACCGTGTGTGAATCATGCACCACCGTTGTCATTTTTTACTCGTGTGTAATCGGCTGCAATTACCAATATTACAAATGGACAAATTAAGCACGGCTGTTGTTGGTACCGAAAGTTGACCACGTCTCGGTGTCAATTTGAGCACGTTCGTGCACAATTCACCAACAGCCGTTGTTGAAAAATATAACAACGGGTCGTTGCGAAAATGACAACATACGTGCTTGATTTCGCAACGGGATTTTTCCCTCAGTGTATTAGATACAGATTGCAATTATTGTCCGATTATCACGAAAATTTTCACAAGGGTAGGGTAAGGCTCAGAAGGGCTTGGCCTATTGTTTTCAAAGATGCCCGCAATATATTTAGAGGTTGAAATGGACCAACAACTAAAAATGTTCCTGATTTTGCAGCCGTTATAAAGGTCACAAATAGAAACAAAAGGACACGAAATCTCGCATGAAGCTAGAGTTTAGGACAGCGGGTAGAATGGACCACTACTTTTGTGTGCAAAAATACCAGCATTACTTACAGGCTATATTCGAAATATACAAAAAGCGAACTTCTGGCTTCTTTATTATTATTGGATTATATCTAGCTGTAAAATGGACCACAACAACTAACAGCACGACGGAGAGCGTAAATATTGGGCAAATATCCCTGTTAAAAATGCTAAGAGTAATATCTGGGCAGTGCTCCGTGACATAAATTTAAAAGCGAAATCTTCCAAAATGGATTCGGACATAAGGGCCTTCTAACATATTGCAGTATTGTAGGGTATCAAATTTTCGGCCCCGCACGGCTATATCCTTTGCTTACTTGTTTAACATATATATTTGAAGACAATTTTTACATTTTATTTTTAAGGCCTATGATAACCTTGAATCACCAAAAGGACTTTTTAGACCTTTTTTCAAAATATGGTTAAAAATGCCTTTAACGGGATCGTAGCAAATGAACCTGTTCTACAAATTTATTTGTCCTAAAATTCTAATATAGGTCCGAGAAGACACCATACATTTTATAGTTAATGCCGTACTTTATGTGAGCTTATGTAAAATTCTCTTAAAGATGGCAGAGATCGGGCGATTTCTCCTGGTACCTCCCCCACACAGGGTTCAAAATTAAAAAAAAAACGCTCAAAAAACGAAATAAGCATCCAACGTTCTTCAAATTTCACACATCCAAATATATTTGCTAACACAGGATCTGTTGTGAAGATGATATATACTTGTGAAACCCTTCTGGTACCTCACCCAGAAAGGGTCACAATTTTCAATACATGTATCTGTCATAATTTCTCTTAACCAGAAACCTAAGATGAATATGCAGTTTATTATTTCGCATATAATTGGTTCGATTTTCTTGCTATTTTGCACATACCAATATTTGTATCTGTATTAGACGAAACATGGAAATGAAATGCTTCGGTTGCCTATACATCGTACCACACGCTTATTTTGAATTTTTCTAAAAATTATCACATATCTCATACAAAGTGAAGGAAATAATTGATGTAGTCCAAACCTGGCACGTCGCAATTCGGAACCTACTCTATAAAGGGACAAACATTTGATTAATCACAACAGAAGTCAAAATATATTTAAATAATCGAACATTGGCTGTGGGTATACATCTGTCGGCAAAACCGACTGATACTTATTAACTTGTTTACTACTTATTTAACACGATTTTATTCTAAGTCAAATCTCATACTTCGTTTAATGGTCAATGTCAAAGGAGGAAATATTCTATATCGAATTTATTGCGAGTCTCTGAGCAAAAGAAATTTGTATATATATTAAGTATACCATAAAAATAGCATCTATTGTGAAACACAAATCTATCCAATTACATGTTTTTTAGGAGTAAAACCCAAAATTGGGAGTTGCCATTATATAGAAAGATAAAAAAATGGGTCTACCTTAAATATTTTGCCAAGGAGTTAAACTGCCAAATAAAAATCGGAAATGAAAAATGACAACAGATTTGGTTGAAAATTGGCACCATTCTTTAATATTCGAAATATCAGGATATACCGTTGTAAGGATGCTATATCTAAATACGCACCGATATAGTCCATTTCCAATACCATACATCTTAAGAGTAATAAAACCACATATATGTCAACTTTCATTCAATTAAGTTAAGAATTATAACATCATCTTGATATCAACAGGCCTATGGACTCGTTGCATCGAATTGTTAGCTTATCACAAATATAAGTACTATTTGGCAAGCAGTTCAATTTTATGATTTTCTTATATAGCGCCACCTAACGGACAATAGTAATTTTAAATGTAGTAAAGGCTCCAACAGTCAACTTGGCACTACTTTAACAGTTGTTACTGAATTGTTTAATAAATGTGAACATTATGACGATTTTTCGAATTAGTGATAGAGAACGCCACATTTGTGTATGCTCTCCTAATTTTGCCTAGGTTTTAGTGGAGTGGGGAAAGGTTTTCTGGTAATACAATACAGTACTATTTTGTAGGTTAATGGAGAAGGAAGCGAGATAGACCCATAGTTACTTTTGAGAAACTTCATAGAATCACTTTCTGAGTCCACTTATGCATGCCAGTCCGACCGTCCGTATATTATTGTGAACAAAATGCAGGTCGCATTTATTATCCGATTGACACGAAAATTTCCAAACAATATTTTTCTGGTCCAAGGACGAACCCTATTGAAATTGGCGAGAATCAGTTCAAATTTAGATATAGCTGTCATATATATCTTAAACCGATTTCGGGTTAATTGTGCACCAAATGGCAAATATCAGTCTAAATGACCTGAATTTTGATACATCCTACCGAATTCGATTTTGTGTTTAAGTCCCTCACATTCGTAATATGCACTCAATAAGAATAATATATGGTACCAGATATCAGATACAGCTCAGAAATACCTTTGGTACATTTTATCAAGATCGATTCAGATTTGGATATTGCTCCTATGAATATAGCTCCTAATATCACCCCAAATAGATTGAATTTCGGGACGTACGTTTCTATTTGGCGGAACTCGGCACCGATATATTTTAATATAATTTTACTCGAAGTGTTATCATGCAATGTTATTTGGTATAAAAGATTAGAATGTATCCGTCAAATTTTGTGAAAATCGATTCAGAATTGGACATGCCTCCCATCTGAAACCAAATTATAACTGCTCTAAAGCCAAATATTGATAGGTGGTATGATCCATGGTACAATGAAGAGAAGGTAGGCCAACTTTGAAAAGTTGAAGTGAAAGTTCAAAATTTCTTTTCAAAATAAACAAATAAAGATGACATATTAAGCCAAGAAAATAAAAAAATTAAAATCATATGGTATCATAGCTCTACCTTGATATCATTGTACCATGGTATGATCTACTTCAAATAAATTCGTTTGTTACGGGAGCTATAGTCGGTCCCGCTCGACTTTAGACTTTTCCCTACTGGTTTGAATTTTGATTTTATTTTTTAAAGCAATAAATACATACACAAAAAAGTTAGAAGTCAGGCACACTTAGGAAACAATTGGAATCAGCTGTTAACTTTAGCTTACCTAAAATTAAACATATAATTAAATAGGTTCTAAGCTTAAATATTGTGAAAAAATGCAAAATAAACAAATCAAACCTGTTAAATTTGTTATTAGTGTTTTTCAAGTTACAAGAATCGAGTTGTATTTTCTCATTTTGTCAGAATGTCCTACCTTGTAGTTGAACCACCACGTTTTGGTTTCTCCACAAATACAAATAGTTAATTTTAAAATAATAGTTAATTTTATGTAAACAATGTTATTAGTTATTGGTCCATCATCAGGGTTAATAGCACATATGACGCGATTGTTTACAAGAAACATAGTTGGCATCATGGTACAATGATTTCAAGGTAGGGCAGAACTACCATATGATTTAAATTTTTTTATTTTTCTGGCTTAATATGTCAACTTCATTTGCTTATGTGTGTGTCTTCTTTTCAATAATAAAAAATTGTTCAGAAAATATTCAAATTCGGGTGTTTTCAAAATGCTTATTGCAACGAATGCATCGACAAAATCTACAGTTTTTGTCGCGAAATAAACCATAAGAGATATATAGAACATGATATTAAAAAGAAATTTTGACCATTCATTCAGTTTTCGCGGTTTTAATTTATTTATTCAAAATCAATGCAACAAGTTGTTTGCTTTTTTATTGTTTTGATAGTAATTCTGACATTACAAGCCAAACAGGTAGACCTCTATACTTGCAATTTTTTCAAAGTTGACCTACCTTCTCTTCATTGTACCATGGTTGGCATTACTTTATTTACTAGAGTTGTATTTTTACGCAGAAGTAAAAATTAAATGAATGCGTAATTTAGTTAACATTTAAGGAAACAAGAAAGAACGGTGTGATAATTAATTTTTTTCCTGCTCACTTCTATGACACTAGTCCCTTCGTCCGTTAGTGAACATATGTTTGCACACACAATATTCCATATTCATAAACAGCTGTTATGTTGGGACAAAATTGTATTTCTAGAACCCTTTCGACCGAATTTTTCGATCTTCTATAACCCTTTAGCAATTGTTGTTTTTGCTTTGATTTCTGTCTTTATCACGATTTTTTGCTTTGTTTTTCATTCGGCATTCTTTGACAAGGGACACAAGGGACAAGCAAGCAGGTAAAAAATGGTAAAAGAAATAGAAATTGAAGAAAACACAAATTACCCGTGACACCTGAAAAGTTAATAGAAAATCGACAGATATATGGAGGACATTTAAATTTGTTACAAGCCAGAGGTCAATAAACATTTCCCAGAGTATTTGCATATCAAGGAAATTACAAATCTGCAATCTGTGGACACATTTGCACAACAAATCAGGAAAGATTTGAGGGAAGCATTCTCGCCCACCTCAAAAGCTTGTTTATTAGTCTCGTTTAATTTCGAATCAAGTGGCTGATGATTGCTCAATTGTCTCTGTGCTGGATCCTGTATCACCCAACAGCTGGAAGAATATCTTCATCCGTTTCATGAAACTTCAATAAACGTTGTGCCTGGCTTAACGCCACCACTTGGATTTTGAGAACTTTTTCTTCTTGAGATATTCGACCTAAAGTGGCTATAATTGGGAAAGCTGGTGACTGCGGAAATGGAATTAAATGATTACAATGGCTTCGAGGACCATTGTAAAGCAAATGAAATGGTAAGAGCAACTATAGATCGCAATGGAATATTAATTTTAATTACGTTTTATCATTTATTACAGGAGCTTCTTAAACGTAAATATATACACAAAGAGCCTCACAATAATATGGACCCCATCGATCACATGATGCAGCGCAAGGATCCGGAGTTTATGGATCATGTGAGTCATTAATTGTGTTATTAATCATGCACATTTTTTATTAATTTTTTTAAATTCATTCCTTTAGGCTGGCCTATTACCTCCAGATCATTTTATTATGGATTTAATGAATTTTCCAAAGGCAGTGGTGTCTAATGGTCCCCATAATGGTGCGGATGCACTTCCACCTGATTTACACTTTCACAATGCTCAGTTATTTCCTGTGGCCGCGGAAGATCATCATCACCACCATTCCAATGAACAACGTAAATCACCCACATTTCTGCCTTTAGACAGTGATTTTTTGATGCCCGTCACTAAGTCCTATACCACAGCCGATGGAGTGGGAAATGTGGAAGTTGGTGGCGACAAAGTTGTGCAAGAATTACTTTTAAATGGTACCGGTGTATCCATGGACGTAAGTCTTTTGAAAGGTATCACCAATAGATGTTTTGTTTATCTTTCAAATCGTCTTTTTCAGGATGGTTCCATTGTCGATGATGACTGTGACATATCACGTTTTGATTCACGCAAAGTGTTGCCCCACAAAAAACGTATATCCCGCAAATTGAAAATCAATCACTCGGATGTTGATGACCTACAATTGAATGTTCCTCTGGAGGAGCATAAATTACCTCAAATGGTGGTTAGCGGTGCAGTGCAACAATTTCGCTGTGAACTTTGTTGTCACGTTACTTGTTCACAATTGGATTTTTTCTCTCATCTTAAGCAGCACTATGAGCCATCAACGCCCGACAATATACTCGTAGCAATGAAAACTTCTCTCGATGCCTTGGGTCCGGAAAAAAGTGAGGCCGCCTCCAATCTTTGTACCATAGATAAAAAGGTAAATTATGTAGTTCCATTAGAAAAATTTGCCACGGATACACCTTGGGGTACTGCGTACATCCATGTAATTGTTTTCCTAAAGAAGTTCTGAGTTATGTGCTTCTAAAGTTCCGTTAGTATCTGTTATATATCCTGTGTTTGTAAGACCAAACAAGGCAATGCGGATATTATTGGTATTTGAAGCTCTAGTGCCCCTGATTATAATTACATTTAGAGAAGCGAATTAAAAAAAAAAAACGCACTAGCTTAACTTTTCTGGCCTTTGTTGGGAATTATGAATTTTCTCAAGAAAATTTTATATCGTAGTACTTAGGACTTGAGGTGTACCTGTGCTATTTTTAAAAGTATGTTTTCTTATGGATAGTAACATAGACAGCATCTATTTATGAATGAAATTTATGGAAGAACCTCGTTTAACCAATTAGGGTTTTAATAGGTCATTTGCGAGGCATGAATGTACATAGGGGCAGATAAAAACTCCACGATTTTCATATTATATTATAGTTAATATGTCAAAGTATATGTCTTCCATATAATGTATATTTCTTTGTAATTAATTAAAATCATTCACAAAATTTTTCCACTTATTTTCAGACTGATGGACTTGATCAAGTCTTCCAAGATGTGCACTTTCCATTTGAGAATTTCACACAAACCGATACAGTTGTTGATACCGATCGTAGGGTGGTGGTTGATATGAATATGCAGACGCATGTTGAACGTGTCGTCGATATGAAAGTGGTCTACAACACCACATATGATAATCACCCAACCCAAACATTGCAACAACAACAACATCAGCATCATCATCAACAACAACAACAACAACAACAGCACCACCATCAGTCACAGGTGCAAGTAATACAACAGCAACCTCAAACACATCAGCAGCCTTCACAAAACCTAGTGAATTCCGAAGAATTCAGTGATCCGGAAGATATGCTGGAGGGCATTAGGGATAAGGTACTCATTGAGGACACCTGCGATGCAATGGATTTAATGGCACCAAACTCAAATGGCGTGCGGCCACATTGGTATGTTGTCATATACATATGCGCTCTTCAGTTTTCTCATAAATACTTACCCCTTTTTCGTGTAGGTTCAATAATAACTGCTTCAATGGCATTGACACTAAGGGCAAACCTTTCTGTGATGTATTGTTTTCGGGGCAATTTGCTCCCATGTTGAATTCGGAACCAACAACGGTGGTGCCACAAGATAATCATCATATGGGAGTGGTGGTGGGGAAACTAATGCCAAAAGATTTGCTGGAGCCTACACAACAGGTTCTACATAATCCAACCGATTTAAGATTACAATTTCCCGAGACCAATGATGGTATGAACAGAAGTCATGAAACACCAGCACCACAGCCTTCAATTCCAGTAGTGCCGCCGCCGCAGCAATTAGCAATACCCCCACCACAGCAACAACAACAACCGCATATCCCTCACCATACACTTGGCAATAATATTGACCTGATACAATCTCAACACATAAAAATTGAAAATAATAATGCCGATATTCCACCTGCCTACCAAAGGGAAAATATCCAACTAGTGACTCATAATGTGATCGATGATCAGGATTATGATAACGGTAACAGTGATGATTTTCGATCTCTTTCACCTAATTCGAATAATGAAAACGAGCATCAAGCCAAGGGGGAGGGTGAGGAGGAAACTGATGATGGCAGCGAATTTGTGGCTGAAGGCAATGGCGAAGATGAGGATGGAGAAAGTGCAGAAGATGGTACAACTAAACGAAAACGTTATGTTTGCAATAAATGTCAACGGGTTTTTAACTCTTGTAATGCCCTCAAATATCATCATCGTACCCACTCGGGGTTGAGGCCCCATCAATGTGATATCTGTGGCAAATCATTTTTCGCTGTTGGGGCCCTAAAGGCCCATACTCGAACCCACACCGGTGACAAGCCATTCGAGTGTGAACACTGTAATCGAAAATTTCGACAATGGGGTGATCTCAAATACCATACCATATCGATACATAGCAATTTAAAGAATCATCAGTGTGAATTTTGCGGGAAGTCGTTTTCAAGAAAATATTCGTTGGTGGTGCATTTGCGTATTCACACCAGCGAGCGTAATTACAAGTGTGAATTTTGTACAAAAAGTTTTCGGGCATCAACATATTTACAAAATCATCGTAAAATTCATACAGGTAGGTTTGAGAAATTAATTAAAATTAAATTTTTTGTTGAATGTTGATTTTTCTTTTTTTTCTCAGGTGAAAAACCCTATGAGTGCGACATTTGTTCGAAAAAGTTCCGGGTTTATGGTGATTTACGACGCCATCTGCGCGTCCATGAACGCAATCAAAAGCAGAAAGAAAATGCTGTTGCAAAAGAATTGAATACTCCAGCGGCGCCTAACAAGACTATTATTACATCGCCTCCCACCACATAGTCATTTTCAGTTAACCATTTTAATTTTATTTTTTATTTTTATAGTTTTATTTTACATAGTTATGTATGTATGTTGTAGAAGTTTTTAATGTAGTATTAGCCTAAATCAACGCAACTAGGCCACTCATAATTGTATGATTTTATCATTAGTAGTGTAAGATGAGATAAAATTTTATATTTTATAAAGAAACTAAATAAATAATATTTATTTTTAGCATAATTTCGGAGACAAATTTTAAAGGGGATATTTTTTTTGAAATTGTTGAAAATAATTGTTTGAATTTTCCTCAAATCTGTGAGCATCAAAGGCATTATGATAATTAAAAATTAAATATTTAAAGCATATTTTGGGGCGCAAAAATGTTATTATGGTTTACAACACTGGCTAATTATCTATTCCAGCCATAGACTAATAAGTATACAAACGAAGGATTGCTCTCACAGTTTATCTTGGAAAAAATTCGCATCAGCAAATGTCGTCTATGTCGTTTCAGGAGTATGACTGAGAATACTGAAGTCACTCAAATCTAGAATATTAAAAAAAATTAACAGCAACAAGTAAACAAGTAAAAAAACAAAAATCAAAAATTCGGCCGAACCGAGGTTTTAATACCCTCACCCATTGGGTAAGGAAAACATTTTTATATAAAAGCATCTGAATTCAAACGTGTTTAATTAAAAATGCTAGTAAGACAGTCTGGATAATGCTGTTAAATTTGTTAAAGAGAAAAAGGCCATAAAGTGGGTGAGCCCGTTATATGGGGGTCATACTAAAACGGGAACCTCAATAGACTATTTTATAATTCAAGGTTTGTTATCTACCAAATCTTCTTAAATACCAAATTTGAAATAGTTTAGTGGGTATTATCAAAATATTAAAAATATTATCAAAATACCGAATATCGGTGGGTATCGCAATATGTGCGCTTTGCGAAAACGTGGTCCTAAATATTCGATGTTCTGCCACCGGAACTAGTATGCATTATGGCCAACAAATACCAATTTTTAGACAAATCGGTAAAATGAGCAAAAATCCTCAAAATACCGAATATCGGGAGGTAACCCATTCTGACCTACAAATACACTTTTTGGACAAATCCGTGAAAAAATGTGGCGAAAATCATCAGAATACCGAATATCGGGAGGTACCGTTATAAGGCGGCTATACCAAAACGTGGACCGATATATCTTATGTTCAATACCAATAATCCTAGACACAATACAAATTGTTCTGGAAAATTTTGAAGCTCTACGTCAAAAAATGTGGGCTGTATAGTGATTCGTCATACAGACAGAGAGACGGACATCGTTAAATCGACGTAGAATTTTGTGCTGATCAGGAATATATATACTTTATGGGGTCTACGGCGATTATTTAGGTTATATTTCAAACTGGAGGGTATAAACATAGTCCAATATTACATCTGGGTGTCTGACTACATGATGGCATCAAAAAATATCCCATCCCAAAAAATGTCTCAATCGACATGGTGAATACACAAAAGTGTGCTGAGAAACATCTGGATACAAAAAAAAAACAAAATCCCCATTTCGATATTCATTTTTTCATTCATTAGTCTATGACCCAGCGTCATTTATTGTCTCACCAAGTTCTAAAAATAGTTTTTTTTCTCACAACTTAAAATTTTTTAGGGACATTTACACGATATTGTTGCCTTAGGAAAGGTGGAAAATATTTGAAAAAAAAAAACGAAAATTTAGTTTAAAATACATTTTTTTTATTTAACCTGAAATGTGTTTTAAATGCGGGTTCATAATAACTATCAGAAGTTTGAATCTTTTGAGCTGTATTAGTTTTCTGACTAAACTTACTCAAACTTAATAGATCTTCAAAGATGGAAATCAAAAACTATTCTGCTGTCAGGAATAATTTCCATCAATAGATGGCGTTGTGGACATACTTTGAATCAGTGTTGTAAAACTGATCATTTTTGAACATATTCCTTCGGTTTTTAATTTTATCTAGCGTGTTTGAAGACATTTTATTAAATATTAGAAAAAAATTTTATCCTTTCTACAAATAAATAAAACAACTGTTTTTTTTTTTTTTTTGGATTTTTTTCGCTATTGCAGAGCTTCCTTTATTATTTGCACTTGTACTTAATTATATGTACAATGTAGATGAGAGTTTCCTTTTTGTTTTTCTTTTTTTATTTCAAATATTATTTTTTTTCTTCTTTTGTTTTTTTTCCTTTGTTTCACACATTATTTTTTGTTTGTTTTACAATTATTATAATTTATTATTATTTTTTATATATAATTTTTTGTTTGTTTTCTGTTTTTTTTCGCTTCTCATCATCCTTGTTTTATTTGTTTTGTTTTTCTTTTGTTAAGACTTAAAATCTACGTTTTAAACTTGTTGTTGGTTTCGTCTTTGTTTTTTAAATTTTTGTTGATTTTTTTATTATTTTTTTGTTAATTCAGTCAATGAAATTCAATGTTTTGTTGTTGTTGTTTTGTGGGCGTTTCATGTGTTTTTGTATTTTTGGTGTGTGGATGAAGAAAATGGGTTTTTGGTTGCCTGTTTTGTAGTTGTTTGTGGTGGTCAACTGAAATTTGAAAAAAATCGTTTTTTTCTGATTTTTCTTTTAAATATCTGTTTTATTAAAAATATCTTTTTTTTTTCTTATTAATTTGCAAATAATTATGCCTGGTTATTGTTAGAATATTGTTAGGTTAGGGGGGTTCTGCTGCTGCTGCTGACATATGGGATAATGTAATAATGTATAATAGTTTTTTGTGGTTGTTTTGGGATTTTCTTTAATATAGAGAGTCCTTGGTTTTATTTGGATTTTGTTCCGTTACACTTAAATTTAAAAATGTTACAATGATATACTCGTACTCTGGTGAGGGGATTTGATTTGTTGTTGATGTTGTTGTTTTTTATTTTTTTTTTGTTTAATATTTCTTTGGGTTTGCAAAAGGTGGTGGGTCTATGTGTGGGATTTCTTTTTGTTCTGCTGGGAAATGGATTTGTGACAAAGGTTATTTTTCTTTTGGCAAGTAATTGATTTAAAAATGTCAAAAAATATTATCGAGCAATGGTACAGCACAGTGGGTTCAGAGTTCACTGAAATTGAAAACAGAATCTTCAAATTATTTTGAAGCAACAAGGTATAGATTCCTGGGTTTTTATAAAACCAGAAAAAGGGTTTCCGTTAAAAATCAGTAAAATGCTAAATTACTAAAGAAAAAAATTTAAGGATCATATTAATAAGTTGTTTCCATAAAAGTTTTAAGGTTAGCCCCTTATCAAAGGAATAAATATGTATAAAAAATTAAAGGAAAAAAAAAACAAAAAAATAATTTAAGTGTCTAGAAGAAATTTTAGTATTGATAAAATGGAAAATTAGATAGGATATAAAAACTCGGAACATAAATGGAGTTGGAGCCCTCTCCAATTTCTTAACGAAATTATGTCAAAACAAGTGAAGAAATAAGTGGAGGCTTCTGGAGCTCGACTGGAGTTGAAATTCTTATTTTTATCGGAAATACTTTAAGGGCTGGAAAAAATATAGAAATCGAGAGAACGGGACAGTTTTTCGTCCTAACCATTTTTTACTCAAATTTTATTAACATTTCGAAAAGAAATCAAAACCCGACAGCTTATATTTGTGAAATGTTTTATATTCTTTGGATGAAATGGTAACAATTCAAGCCATCAACATGCATCGATTTCAAGAATTTGACCCCAGAACTGCCGGGAGCCTATGATAATAATCAGCCGGATATTCAAGTCACTGAATACCAAAATAAAATCCAACGCTAACTTGAAGAATTGTGTACCGCTAACTTGCTTGAGGCGTCTCGAGGAAGGAAACAGCTTGTTGCAGTACTGGTAACCTATCTATGAGCATAATCAGCAGGATATTCAATATAAAAATAAAATCTAACGCTACCTTGAAGATTTGTGTACCGGGTCACTGCAATAAAAATATTGGCGAACGTGAGAGAAATAGCTAACTGTCTTCAGAACTTTGAATTTTAGTGGCCTCTTCTTTAAAAAAGGGACAAGGTGGTCTTGAATAACGAACCTCTAACTTGGAGTGTCTCGAGGAAGGAAACAATTGCTTTTAGGGGAGTTTTATTAGGGGCATTTTATGTGGACTCGGGAATATTAAGAGTTAAAGGCTGAAAATGGCTTCTCTGACCACTCGAATTTAGGGGAGTGCGTGACATTTTGCCATACATTAGCATTTTCTCCAGTCTTAAAAAGGGGTGTTAAATTACATGGCCATTCTAGGCTTAAAAGGGCGCTAGAATTAGGCCATCTCCCCTCAACCGGTTCCATCAGCTGTCGCCGATTTTATCGCCTGTTTGATCACCCTAAAAGCGACAGGGCAGAGTGAAGTGTATTATATACCTAAGGACTCTGCGAGAAGTCCCAACGAATTTCTCCAAGGCGGAATTTCATTCTCTCTAAACGATATAGAGGTCTTAACTCAGAGAAATTTTCTCTTAGGTCTTAATTGCTATGGCACTGGATCAATACCAAAACATCCTTTATTGTCCCGTTTTAGGGGCTTTAAGGCTGTTTGGAACTCTTTTGCTTTTCAAACCCCGTTTTGATGGAGTAATATAATTAAAATTATAATTAAAAAGTCCAAGATTTTTGTGAGGAGGAAAGTTAAAATCTTTCCCCACAAAAATAGAAAAACTATGTCTGGGGTATGTCTTTCAACCTTTTTTCTTTAAATCCAAGATTTTTTAAAAGATGCTTGAAGTTTTTCTTTAAAAAATCCACGATTTTTGCACAGAAGTTATATTGCTAAAAAACTTCTTAAAAAGTCCACGATTTTCGGTGAGGAGGCAAGGTAAACCCTTTTCCCCACGAAAAAACCACATGTCTGGTCGGGATGTCTTTCATTTTTTTGACTAAAAATCCAAAATTTTTATTCAGAAGATACTTGAAGATTTTGCTTAAAACATTGACGATTTTTGCTCAGAAGATATATTTATCTGATATATTTGTACCCGGCATTGCATATTTGAAACAAGATAAACGGCTTCGTAAGTAAGTCAGCTAAATTGTCGCATTTGTTTATTTTTTGTTTCTTCCTTTTTGACAGATTCCAGGCAGAAAACTTGTCAGACTGTGGACTGAATTCTCCTCCTGTTCCACTTTATTAAATTTTTATAAATCAAATAATAATATACGGCTTTTGGATACCACTGTGCTTTACTCATGTAATTTGCAAATAATTCTAATTTAGGGGTTTAAAGGATTGTTGCCCAGAGTTATTGTTTTTATTTTTATGCCAAAAAAAGTTAACACAAGAGATAAAAAACTATAACCAATTTGATATAAGAGGGCTTTGGATTATTGTGTTATATTGTTTATATTTTCCTGTTAATAAATATAAATATTGTAAAGCTAATTGAAATACAGAACCGATAATTCAATGGGAGGAGGTATGGGAAAATGGGAATCTTGTTTGGTTTTAGAAAATATTAAAAGAACTCAATTGTTTCGTCTCTTTTCTTTTAATACAAATTAAAATTACATTGATTTTCTTGTGTGTTTGTTGTTTTTTTTTTTCATTCATTCTTTGTTTTTCCTTTATTGAATATTTATTTATTTCGATTTGTTTGTTTGTTTTTTTATTTTGTTTTCACAAATATTTACAACTACTTAAAATTTAAATATAATTTGTTATTTGTTTTTAATTCTTCCTCATAATTTTTTTCGGAGGGAATGGGCTGAGTCTTATGGCCCTCACCCTCCTTTTTCATCTTCAGTTTCTGGCATATTTATCATTTGTAATTTTTTTTGTTCATCAGCATGACACCACAGACTTTTTTGGTTTAGTGTGTTGTTTTTTTTTAAGTTTTGTTCTATAGAGGAGCAGGACAATTAAATATATTCTTTGGGGGAGTTGGTAAGGTTTTTTTACACTAACTGAATAGTTATGGATTGTCAGGATCCAATATAGGGAATAATGATACACATTTTGACAAATATTATAAAATTGTATTTTGACTTCAAAGGGTTCACATAAACATCTATTTCTGGCTCTGTTCCAGAACCTGTAAGAAACTATTATTTTTACATGTTTTTTCGATATCACAAAGGAATAATCGGCTGTCGCGGCAACATTTTAACATTCTTGCAGGTTTTGGAAAAGAGCATATTCTTAAATAATAATTACCCGATTAAGCAGGTAACATATTTTTTTGTCCTGGGTGGACACAATTAAAAAAAATAGACTTTAAGGGTAGAAAATAAATGTTCTTTTTGGTTTTGGATACCCTGCAATGCCCTTTAAGACTATTCAGCCAATGTTGTAAAAAATAAAAATTATTTTAAAACTGAAACTCTTGTGGCTCCTCTTGTTTTTTTTTTCTTTCAGGGATGGTCAAAAACATAAAGAGGACAAAATAGGATTTGTGTGTGTGTGAGTGTAAGTGTTTGGTTATTGATGATGATTTTGGATTTGGTTTATAATGATGATATTGTTGTATTTGTAATTATTTTTTTTTTTTGTTTTGTTTCTTATTTATTTTTTGAATATGGGTGGTGGTGGTCGGTATGTGAAATATATGTTTATTGTTATTGATTATATTTTGGTTTTTTTGTTGTTGTTGTTATTATTGTTATTCTGTTTTTTTATATAATGGTGAAAAAATATGTTTTTTGTTTTGTTATTTTAGTTTGTTGTTGTTGTTGGTATGAGTTATTTTATTTTTCTTCTTCTGTGTAAAAACAAATTTGTTGTTGTTGTCGTATTGTATGTTACTTTTGTTTTAGTATTTATTTTTGTTTTTAAATATTTTTATTTTATTTGTTTTGCATAATTTATTATTGATTTCATTTGTTGTTGTTATTATTGTTGTTGTAATTATGGTTTGTTTTGCATTCCTTGTTCCGTTAAATATCGGTTGGTTGGTTGGTTTTGGTTGTCGACTGTCTTCTCTAGAGTTTTGTTGGTTGATTTTGTTTTGTTTTTTTTTTTCTTTTTTTGTATTTAAATAATGATTTGTTTTCCATTTTTTATATTCATTCTTCCTTACTTCCTTCCTCATATCAGTTTTTATTTTCTGTATTGTTTTTTATAAAATTATTTGTTATTTTTATTTGTTGTTGTTTTTTTATGAATAGAGGTGTTTGGTTTTTTTATTTCTTACTTCATCTTGCTTCCTGCCTTCTTCCTTCATTCCTTATGCTTGCTTTCTTAAGTAAAAATGTGTTTTTTTTTTGTTGTTTTTTTTCTTTGTTTTATTTTAAAATGTTTCATTTTGAAAATATTTCATTCTTTTCGTTATTGGATTCGGTTTCCATATTTGTTTCCATTGTATGTATGTATGTTTTTTGTTTTGTTTTGGTTATCGGTTTAGATTTTGAATTTGTTTTATTGTTGCAGTTATAGTTGGCCAGTTCTGTTCAGTTGTATGTATTCTTTTTCTTTTTTTGGATGATTTTTGAATGCAAAGTGAATGTGGGGGAGCGTAATTTATGTGTATTTCCAGTGTCTTATGCAATTACTATTATCATTTACAAGTTATGTAGCATTAACCGAACTCATTCCGATGAAACACTATTCGAAAAAAAATATTGGAAAGGGGAAATTCTAAAAGAAAAACAGAATCAATTTTTATTTCGATTGTAGGACGATACTTTGTGATAAGCTTAAAGAATCCCGATGAACTTTAAAAGCAAGAAAATTAATCTTAGGCCAATATTACAGGCAGGACTATTCTACGATACAATAGAAGAAAAGAAAACAGGGGTGGGGTGTGAGGTTGTTATAAAGTTGATATGTGAGCTGGCTGCTGGTTGGATTATATCAATTTTTTTACAAACCAACCTCGGGAACCTTTTTTCTAAATACTACAATTACTTATAGTTTTTGGTGATTGTCCAACAATTGTTACCATATGATTACGATTAACACAGAATCTATAGGGCGCGTCGAACGCGAACGATACCCTTGTGGGAAAAATGGACATAAAGGAACTGTGAATCCATATTGATAACTCCTTGGGAAAGGCAGTTTCCAACTGACTGGCTTTTAGGATAACTATAACTGAAGCCCAAATAGAAGTGGTATCTGGTGGGTTAGAGATCTTGAGAGTAACACTACAAGCCCTGCGACCACATATATGTTGACCGACAAACTTCCCCTGAACAGGATGTTGTGGATAAAACATTGAGAGAAATTTCTGATTGCGGAAAGAACTAGTGGGAAGATTTCTCTCAAAGGTCTATCTGCTTTTGTGCTGATGTTTTTAAAATGGATGAAGGCTCTAGAGCAGGCCTCAACGGCTCTAACCTCCACATACAAAACTCATACAAATGAAGAGTTTTTTCAGGCTGAAATTCTCGCAATGAAGCAAGCTGCAGGATGTACATATCTAGATTGACAAGAAGTTATCAGTGCACTCCAGAGCTATGCATGAGCCTCTTAGAGATATGTGACACCATTAAGCTTTGTTCGAATCCCGGTCACAGTCACATTGCAGGTAAGGGAATGGCTGATTATTGAACTAGCTAGGGATGACTCACTAGAAGCTTGATCCACGGGTCGAAGAAAATAATTTTATGGCTGAAATTCTCGCAACAAGGAAATCAAGAAGGTAGTATTGCAGTACCGCACTCAAAAAAACACCTCCAACTCCAGAACATTGATTTTAGTGACTCAATTATACTTTTTTGGTCCCCGCCAACAGCCACATTGAAGGAAATTAAATCACTGATGAACCAGCTAGGGGTGACATACCAGTCGCATGATCCGGCGGTCTAAAATAAGAGTTTTCAGTCTGAAATTCTTGCTACAAGGTAGTTTTGCAGAAACTGTTACTCACTCAAGCACCATAAAATCCAGATCTATTCGTGAGACTTTTAGAGATACGTGACACAATTAAGTTTTAATGGGTCCCCAGACACAGTCGCATTGCAGAAAATGAAATGACTCATGAACTGGCTAGGTTGGCTCACAGTCACTTGATCCACCTCTCGAAGAGAAAAGTCTTCAGGCTAAAAATCATGCAACAAGGTAGTATTGTAGGATCCGCTACAATGTATGCAAAAGTCGAGGGGTTCTAAATGTACTCAAGTATAGCACCACAAAATCCAGAGCTATTCATGAAATTTTTAGAGATACGTGACACAATTTAGGATCCCCATACACAATCGCATTGCAGAGAATAAAATGACTCATGAACTGGCTAGGGTGGCTCACAGACACTTGATCTACCTCTAGAAGAGAAGAGTTTTCAGGCTGAAATTTCCGCAACAAGGAAAGCGAGAAGTTAGAGAGAAGAAGGCAAGAAGGTAGTACTGCACAGGACGTGTTACTATATACTAGCAAGGGTTGCTTTACAATACAACAGTCGAAGAGAACGTCAAATCGAAGATAAACTGCAGTCTGAAAAATGTCCTTTTGGGTCACGTGAAAGGTTTTAATCGTTTTCGAAGAATAAGTTTCAACTTTTTTCATTTTCATAAAATTGAAGCTTACATCGACTAAAGTTTGCATTCGAATAGTGTTTCATCTTGGTCATTGTCTTATGGGAAGTTCTTAAAACATTGAAACGTTTTGTACGCACAAACAAACATAAAAAAATCATTATTAAAATATAATATTATAAATTGAGATCAAATTGTGTTATTTGTTAAATGTTACTTAAAACAAACAAAGGCAATAAAATGTTATTTCAAAATCTCTTGGAGAATTTCACATCGAAAAATATCACAATTATTATTATTATAATAGCTTAAATCACATTTTGGCAATCAGATCAGCAGGATATTTTGTTGGAAATCGGTAAAAGACAAGATACATAAAGTGAGATTTCGAATGTGTTTTAAACTTAAAAAAAATCGACATCATTTAATTATACCAAACATATAGAGAAGGGCTTTTCTAGGCCACTGTTACCAATATTTCATAGTTCTGTGTTTTTAATATTTCCATATTCTGAGGATTTTATCTTCCCGGAAAGAATGTGTAAATTATAAAATGTTATAAACAAGACAACCCCGAAAGCTGTTAAATTCTTGGATTATTATTTACACATCATTTCACAGATGATATTCATAAATTCATAGCGTTATTAAAAATAGAAAAATACAAAAGAGAAATGAAACGTTTGCCATGTGAAACATTAGTAAAAAATTAACTATTCATATACATTTCATTAAATTATTTTAATTAATTATTAATATATATGTATTTTGAGTAGCTATGATATAAGGTTTGCAAAAAATAATTTACTGAAAAAAATTAAATGAAATAAATTCAATTTTCTTGACATTGAAAAGGGGATATTTATAAAATTTTCTTGTCCCGTCTAAATATTCCAACAAAATCTCCGAAAGTTTTCCATTCAAGTTTTTGCTTTCAAATCAAAAATTTGTCACATAGTAGTTGTAGATCACAGTGATTCGTTTATGCAACGTTCGTTTTGCTTTTGGAAATTCCCTTTTGTTTTTTAAATCAACATTTTAATGCCTTATTAGATGTAAGTGTATGTTTACACATATTAAAATTATTAGATTTGTAATTCATTTTATGCTTAAACATTGAAATAAGTATTACTTATTTTTAAACAATTCTTTAAAAAAATAACAATTAAAATTTCTTTTAGAGAAACAATTTTAAAGAGAATTCAAAGTGTTAAAGGATTTGCGAGAGATATGTGCAGTCGGGGCGGGGTTATAACGAAAATGTAATACAACCAATCATAATTTATAAGAGATCTTCGTTATAAACCCTATACGACTGTTCGTTAACGGAGCATCCAGTTTTTCCGGATTTCCTTATGTGTAGATACCCTAAGTTTTATACAAATTTAGGTTTGTAAAAATATGAACTAATATTATTTAGTAATATATTCCACATTAATGCAATGATCATCATCAATTTAACAACATAAAATCGAGGCATGATGCTAGACCAAGTATCTGGAACATTTTGAATTTTACCAATCATTGGTAATAATATCCAGTAAAACTGGAATGAATTTTGAAAAAGCCACTCTTTTAAAATACATGAATTGAGGTTATGCTACTTGCATTGGATCCTATTGTTGATTTGAATTGATATCAGTTATAAATGTGGACTTTCCTTCTAGCAGTTGTCAAACACCAACCTCTTCTGTGATTGCTCCAAAAAATGTTGCTGCTGCTGCTGGCGTTGTTGTTGTTGATGATGATGGTGGTGGTGGCAATGAAGACGGCGACGACGATGATGATGTTGTTGCATCCGTATGCATTTGCAGAATTTTAGGTACACATTCGCTTGCTGCTGTTGTGGTTTTTGCTATTGATATTTTATGGGTGGCCACAAATTGGGTTCCGGATGCTGCTGTTGCTCCTGCTGACGTTGTAGTATTGTAGAAATAGTAATAGTTGTGATTATAGTTGTTGTAGTTGGTATCCGGTACTATTGTTGTTGCTATCTCAGTATTATTGATATTAGCATGAAAAGTAGAAGAAGAAGACATTCTCCCGCTTGACATTGTTTGTTGTTGCTGCTGATAGTAATGCTGGTGGTAGTTGTTGTTATTGTTATTATTATTGTGGTTGTGATGATGATGATTGTGTTGGTGGTGGTGATGGTGGCGACGATGATGATAGTGATAGTTTTTGTTGTTACTGCTGCTGCTGCTGTTGTTGTGGTTGTTGCTGTTTTGAAATTTTGTCTTTGATTTGGCGCTACATTACAAACTAACCTGCTGCATTTTATCAAAATCTAAACATGGCCTGTGCGGTCTCTGCAGCCGCTGTGAATTGTGTGGTGTGCGCATGGGTCGGCGTCTAGGTGATATTGCACAATGGAAGAGTTTCGCCGGTGGACTAACCGACCGTACCTCAACATCGAGACCAGTCGTGGAGGCAGGACTACTGCGCGAACTATTAAAATGAAAATTATGCTTGGCTTGAGGTTGATAAATGTGATGACTGCTGGTCGAACCGCTCATTTTCATTTTGATAATGCTGCTGCTACCCTCATTGTTTTCGGCATTCTCCTCCTCGGTGCCCATGGCACAATTAGCCGAGGACGAGTCGCCATTGTTGCCAACGGCTGATCCACCGTTTTCATCATTAACACTATTATCACATAACTTAATATTTTCAATGCCGCAACGTGCCTCCTGCAGTATGAGTGGCGTTGTCGAACGATACATGTGGCTACGGTTCGGCTTGAAAGCCTCCAAAGGCGGTGATGTGCGAAAGTTGACAGGCGTTAAAATCGGTTCCAAGAAATTTCGTAACTAAGGAAGAGAAAACTGGAGATTAATACGTGATACAAAAAATGACCTCCATTTACTTACATCATCATCGGAACTGTGTGCCAGTGATCGTTTACGATTCTCTACTAATGTTGAACTGGACCTTTTCAAGGCCGCTGCTTCTCCCTGCAACTCATCGGGATCCAGTGATGAAGTCCCACGTTCTGATATCAGCGACGATGTGCCACGCACTGTCAACACATTGCTGGCGGCATGCGCCGCCTCAGCAGCCGCTACAGACGAGGGTCCATTGATAACTTCAAGTTCTTCTTCGGAACTGTGCTGATCGTACTGAAGGTGGGATTTACACATCATCGCAGAAGATTCTGATGAACAAATTGTATCGGTCGGAGAGTTTGCATCGGTGCAGGAACTAAAACCTAAGAATAAAAATAAAATCGATTAGTGAAATTATTAAGGAATCGGAGATTTATCAATGCAGAGGTTTGAGATAAGGAGATATATTGAAAAATTGAAAACAAATGCCGGAATATACTAGGGAAATTCCTCTGGTCTCTAATCAGACAGGCAATTTTATGAAAAAGAAGCGCGAGTTTAATGAAATGTAGTAAATTATAACCATTATAGAGCAACTTCGAAAACGTATTTTGTTCTCAGAAATATATATAAAGAATACGCGATTTTGGTTTCCAGAAAGCGCCAATAATACGAAAGAGATACATACTAAGTTAGTAAAGTAAATTTCTAAAAATAAAGGACATTTTGATATCCAATGTAAAAAGTTTTCTATGTACAGATAATATAGAAGACGTTGTTATAATTAAAATCAGACCGGCAAAGTTTACGGAAAAGAAAGTTCAGTTTTATATGTAAAATTTATTATAAATTCATTGTCCGCTGCAAAAACATGTTTTTTCGTCTAAATTGCTCAGTTATTTCTGATTTAGAAGAACCATCTCTCCGATATTTTATAATTCCTGTCGGAACTGAGATCAAACCTGTACCTCGTTATGGTCCGTTATGAAGACGTGTAAGGGGTTACTGCCACAGTGTAAGAGTATGACCTGACCTGACGAAACTAGCATTTTTAAAGTTCAAGCAATGTCCCCATTATCGTGCCTATTAACAGGGCAGACTAATTTTTAATATCTGAAAAGCAACACTTTAAAAAGGATCAGTCGGTTTTGCCGTAAGATGTATACCTTCATCAAAGATCCGATTATTGTGATTAGTCAAATTGTTGACTCTATTTGGAGTAGGTTCCGAAGGACTATTTTCGGTCCTGACTAAATATGATATTAACATTGCGACGTGCCAGGTTAAGGCTATATCGACTACTTCTTTCACTTTATATGAGATATGTTGTAATTTTAAGAAAATTTTACGATGTGCGTAATTTACCAGTTACAGTCGACCGAGGTATTCGATTTTGTAATTCATCTAATACAGATAAAAATATTGGTATGGGCAAAATTACAAGAAAATCTAACATTTATATCCAATTTTATGCGAAATCATAAATTCCCATAAATTCTATATTCATATCAGATTTCTGGTTGGGAGAAATATTTGGATATAGCAAGTTGTAAAGAATCGCTGATTTGTTTCCCAAGTTATGATAAATAAAAGTATTGAAAATTGTGACCTTTTGTCGGTCTTATCTTCACAACAGATATTTTGTTGGCAAAAATGTTTGTATGTGTGACATTTGAAGAATATTAGACGCTTATTTCGTTTTCAATGAGCGTTTTGTTTTAAAAAATCTTGAACCCTTTGTGGGGGAGGTACCAGAAGGAGTGGTCCGATGTATCCCATCTTCACAGCAGATCTTGTGTTAGTAGAAATAATGGAATGTGTGAATGTGAAGAGAACCGGAAGCTTATTTCGGATTTAATAATCATTTTGGTTATTCGAAGCTTTGACTCTTTGTGAGGGAGGTACCATAAGGAATGGTCCGATCCATACCATCTTTACAACATATCTTGTGTTTAGGGAAATGTTGCGATGTGCAAAGACAGAACGGAATCAGAGGTTATGACCTTATGAGCTTCATAGATACCAGAAGGAGTAGACATATATATTCCATTTTCACACCCGACCTTGGGATAATAAAAATATTGTGATGTATGTAATTTGAATTTGAATTCGGAATGGTACATCAGATTTTTGAGTTATAATTATTCAAAATTTTGACCCCTTGTGGGGGAGGTACTTAACCCTCTGCAACTGACGTGGTCTAATTGTAACAATGTGACTGACATGGGGTCTAGCAGACCTCATTTTTAAACCGATTTCCCATTCTCAAATTTTTGACTGGCGCCTTCTTGGCCTTATTTAACTACAACAGTAAACGATTGCTCTTTTCACACTGAGCGACGTAGGAGCATGAATAGAAAAGGTAACGAGAGCGTAGAGATCGTAACTTGTTATTTTACAAAGTTACGAACGATTGTTCTCTTTGCGGGGTCTGTCAGACCATACGTCAGTTGCAGAGGGTTAATTGAGTGGACCAAATCGGATACTCCCTTCAAGAGTTGTCGAGCGCACCAAGCAGTCAGATAAACAGACAGACGGCGGACATCGCTAGATCGACTCCAAATGTCCTGAAACAGATTTGATCCAAAGAGATCTAGGGTATATACCCATTATTTTGATGACGTTTGGCCGTATCAAATGATATATACCATCTCTAGCCATATGGTTGAGGGTAGGTCAACACGGAATCTCATTGGCAATGGGATGGGTCAAGAGAAGATTATTTAAACAAAGTCCTCAACTTATCATTAGCCATCCAAATAGCTATGGATAATAGACAAATGAATAGCGCCTAAATCTAAGCGAGAGTGTCAAAAATGTGGCTCATTCAGGCCGTATTCACTTTTGTCGCTATTAGTAAAGATCCTTGTGACATAACTCCTGACCAGTTTTAAAGAGTGATTTTTTGCGGGGCTATGTTAAAACTCATGTCTATAAAGACGAGCCCACTTCAAGTGACATTGAAGCATTTATTCGTAAGATACCGGCCAAAATATTTGAAAGGGTATGGCAAACTTGGACTAAGCGCATGGACCACTTGAGCCGCAGTCACGGTCAGTTGAAAGAAATAATATTAAAAAAAAAACTAATTAAACGGACCGTACTTTTTTAATCACCTTCAAATCTCTTTTTCAAAATTTAGCCCGTTGTGGGAAGGAATCAGAAGGGATGGTCTGTGCTACCCTATCTCCTTGCCAGATCTAGAGTTAAGGAATATTGGGATGTGCAAAATGTTAAGACAATCAGATCTTATTTCAAATTTTAGAGTTATGATTATTGAAAATGTTAAGCCTTTCTGTGGGAGATACTAGAAGGAGAGGGCCGATATTGTCCATTTTCGTACCTGATGCAAATTTTAGGATTTGAAGAATACTGGGTATAAGAATACTGGGTAAGTGGCACAAATGAATGACACTCTCTCGGTGAAATATTTCACCCGACGACGTCGAAGTGTAAGTGGCACAAATGAATGCCTAAATTCAAGATTTGTGGGAATATAGCTGAGTTCTCCTCAAAAATAATCTCTATCACTCTCGATACTGCTCCGCTATCACGGAGTCAGAGCCCTTTAAGGGACAACTCTCTTGCCAAATTTATCATCACACCAAAAGACAGTCTTGGTGTTCTTTACTATGATCAATAATAATCAGCTAAACCCCCTCTTGTCCCTCGTTATACAAAGCCCGAGGTTTTGGATACTGTAACCAATGAGAGACTTTAAACAGGAGATTGTTTTGTTTACATCTCGTCCCTAAAGAACAATGGGCCGGGTTATTAGCCCTGCATCCAATACCTCCTCAAGAAGATACGAATATGTTGATTGTTAAATTGAAGTTGTTTTGGAAAGTTAATTATGTATGAAGGATCTATTAATAGTCTTCTTTAGATCTGTATACGTATAGAAACCCCAAAGAAGACTCTTAGCATATAGAAGCCTTTAAGATGGTCAAATCCATATTTTGAAGGAATTGAAGTTTCTTCAAGTTCGGAAACATAAAATCGTAGTAAAAAAACACCGGCTATGACTACTGCATTCATACTTACTAGTTTCCATATCCAACTCTAAGTGTTGTTGATGATGTTTTGTATCCACATCTAAGATGTCGCCATCAGATTCAGTACCCGAGTCATTTGATTCGCCCTGCAAGAGAATGGAGAAAAGAACTTTGGTTAATAACGGAAATTATGAATTGAAGCAAATTCAAAAATTATGATAAAGGTGAGTTCGGGGGGAGGACGTATCGGAAAGGTATTAAACTGTTCATAAAACACAACCTTTTTCTTGAAAAAATTCTTGGCCGATTTATACGAGGAAGAGTACGACAAGATGGTGGAAGTGGACGACGACTCCTGGTGTTGTTGTTGTGACGAAATTAGTTGCGGGTCCTGATGCTGTCGTTGCTTAAGATAATACTGCTGCTGTTTGTGTTTGACAAACTTTATCATTATTGGCCAACGTCAAGGAAAATTTGATAAATAAATGGAATTTTTAGGTTTCCGGTTAGTGAGAGAGTGAGACAAACCTGTTTTGTTGTTGTTTTTTAGGAATATTTTTGATTTAGTTTTTGGATTAATAAATTTAATAATCGCCGGAATTTTTCCAAAAGCAAATTCTGTATTTTTTTCCTTAAATACACATCCTAGAAAAAGCCAGACACTTTTGTCTATGACAATTTCTTGTATCTCTATTTCGGCTTTTTCGCTTTTGCTGCTGCTGCTTCTTCTTCTTGTTTGTCGTCGTCGTTTTTTGGTTGATAGGTTGGTTGGTTGGCTGGCTGGCTGGCTGGTTAGTTGGATTATAATGACGACGATGTTGATGGTGATGATGTTGATATGAGGGCGATAACGATGATGACGATTAAGAAGAACAACAAGAAGAAGAGTTGAAGTAGAAATTAAAACCCAATACCGGGAGTAAATGTTGCCGACGATGTCCAATTGCCGATAGTAGTAACGGGCAATACGACACGGCGAGTAACAACAAAAACAGAGTACGTTGAGTGAGTATTCTTGTAGTATTTTTAGTTACGCTCCGGCACAATGAATTTTCCTCATTGTGTGGGCATCATAAATTAATCAACTCACACTCTCCTCTCTCTCGGTCTCACTCTCTTCCTTCAATGTGAATAATGATGATGATGATGATGGAAACAATAATCACTGACTTTGCCTTTGTTACTGTCAAGCAATGACTCTCTCTCTGTTTTTCCTCTTGCTCTCAATGTGAGTAACAATGAGAATAATCACATATCTCTCTGACACTTCTCCTCTCCCAAAGGCAAAACGAAACTAACAAGTGATGTTTGTGATGATGACAGTTATGTTTGTTGGCTGCTGTGTTGGTGATGAATGGCAAAGAGGTGCAGACGGCCAAAAGGCAACAAAATCCTTTAATACACCTCTCTTCTCTTTGCAGAATAAACAATTGGATGGATAACAAATCTCTCGCATAAACAGGATAATAGATGACAAAACTCACACGCACTCTCCCGAACACTCGGGACACCAATACACAGTAACTTGTCCAGCAGGAGGAACAAATCTTAAAAAAATACTAAACCGAGGCGGTTGGAACTACCGAAGCGAATGAGAGATACTACGACGAAGGCGACATGTTTTCCACAGCAATTTTTTTCGACAATGTTTACCGCCGTCGTATCGGGTTATAGGAGGTATGTATTGGTGCGTGTGTTGCTGTGATTGCTGCAGCTTGCTGTTGCTGCCGTCACTAATTGTTGTTGGTGGTGCTGGTTGTCGTAGAACCAACCAACCTCTCGTCCTCTCGTTTGGTCTGTGTTGAATGCAAGCTGGCTGGTTGGCTGGCTGGAAGGCAGCCTCAGATCACCTTTACCGTAAGATACAGTACTGAATTATCGATTTTCTTACTTGGCAGTCAAAATTCTACAACAACACAAACAAACAAAAAACACCAAATTTTCCGTTTTTCTTTAATGAAATCCGCAAAATCCACAATTAACGATACAAAGTCTACACTTACAATTTGGCAAGTTTTTTATGAAATCTTAGGCAGTATTTTTTATTTGTAGACATTTTTTTCCCACTTCCCAGTTGGAGGAATTCTAACTTTGGTCTCAATATCGAATCATATTCACAAACGTACGCATTTATCGACGAACGATAGCAAGGTAATAGTTAGCCGAAATCTTCACTTATTTCTTAAAATAATTTGATGCATTTTCCAGCAAATCCTTTCTGGATTCTTTCACTTGTATCCACAAAAATTCCTTTCCTGTTTCTTTGGCTTTTTTTCTGCTTTCTTCTTCTTCGTCGCGTTTTCGCTTGTCTAAAAATACTACAAAACTTCGCCTGTCACCGGCAAACGTTTCACACAAACTAATGACACTCTCTCGGTGAAATATTTCACACGACGACGTCGACGATGGTGAGTAAAAACGTCTCAATCACCAACAGTAGCAGCAGCAACGGCAACCAAATACACATGTGACAGTGATGGTACGTTGGTATTTGAGTGCTGGTACTGCTTAAAAGTACCACAGACGACGTAAAAAAAGCATATGTTTTAAGTTTTTTCTTACTTCAAGGTCCAAAGGAGATATAATTGTCGTATATACCAACATTTCGTATTTTTTAAGAAGGATTGGATTAGAGTTAGAGTCTCATATTTTTTTAATGTCTTTTAGGATATTTTTCGAAAGCGAGCTGTAATCGTGAATATTTAATCATAAATTTAGAAGAGAAATGTTTAAGGATTTAAAAAAATATTTTTTGAAGGGCCACCAGAGCTTCAATCTCTAATTTGTTAGGAATATTTCTGTAGGACTCTCTAATGTATTTTCGGTAGATTTTATTAAAGGATTATCAGAAGCGTGGATTTTAATAAGAATTTTTTTAAGCCAACACAGGATATGCTATTTGTTAATTATCATCAAAGGTCGAATGGTGTATTTTAATAATATAATCAAGCTAACTGTAATCGTAAATATTTCATCCTGGATTTTGAAGACAAATTTTCAAGGATTTTGAAAAAAAAAAATATTTTTTGAAGAACCACCAGAGCTACAATCTGTAATTTTTTTACCCTCCAAGCTAGCTGTAATTGTGAATATTTAATCCTGGATTTTGAAGACAAATTTTCAAGGATTTGAAAAGAAATATTTTTTTAAAAACCACCAGAGCTACAATCTGTAATTTTTTATACCCTCCACCATACATTGTGTGGAGGGTATATTAAGTTCGTCACTCCGTTTGTAACTCATCGAAATAATAATTTTAGACCCAACAAAGTACATATTTTCCTGATCAGCGTAAAATTCTAAGACGATTTAGCCAGGTCTGTCTGTTGGATTAGGAAGTTAATCTAATTTTGCACAGATCTGTCTTTTGTCTGCAGGCAGGTTAAGTTCAAAGGTCCACGATATCGTATAGCCTCCATATAACGATACCCTCCGATATTCCGTATTTTGATGATTTTAGCCACATTTTTCAATGGTATTGTCTGAAATTATACGCAAGGAGTTCTTCGTGACTTTTACCCCCTGCAAAATAATTTTGTATATCCACGAAATTGCATAGCACCCATACAATGGTGCCACCCGATATTCGGTATTTTGATGATTTTAGCCACATTTTTCAATGGAATTGGCTTAAAAGACACACAAGGCTTTCCTTCTGAGTACTTTACCCCCTGATAGAGAATTGTCCATAGGTCCACGATATCATATACCCCCAATTAACGATACCCTCCGATATTCGGTTTTTTGATTATTTTAGCCAGAAAGTGAATTGTCTGTATAGGTCCAAGAAATCGTATATCCCTCATATTTTGTTTCGGAATTGTTTCAAATTTCGTATATAAAGTTCGGAACAGTTACTATAGCCTATTTCATAAATTACTTATGCAGGACCACGTCTTCGTATCGCCCACATATAACGGGTTTTCTTTGAGCGACGGATTTTTTTTTGAAAATTTTCATTTTTTTTTTGGAGGGTATAAATGGTTCTAATAAAAATTTGATTTAAAAAAATATATGTTTTCACGTACTGAATCAGATATAGAAAACTTTCTTTAATTATTTTCGTGGACGTTTCAGAGGGATAGCTCTAACATAATACTGGACTTTTGGATAATTTGAACTATCAAAGCTATAAAACGTGGATTTTTAAAACGTAGATTTTTAAAAAATTTATTTCAAGTACTATTTTTGAGCGATAAAACGTGGGCTTTAAATGTTTTTAATTCTATGAAACGTGAAATTGTTTTAAAATACTTTTTAGACAATACCAATGCCACAATCCTCAAGGGTCAATAACCCAATGTAGATTTCTTAAGAAAATTCTTTGAATGTGTCAATGAACCAATAACCGAGGTGTTTCCATTTTTTTTTTCAAAGACCCGGAATCGGAATTTTTCCGGAATATTTTTTTTAAGGACCAACAGACCAATGATCCTAAATTTTTAAGAATATTTTCAAGGACCAAGGGAGCATATTTTCAAGGGTCAACTGATCGACAACCGTTGATATTTGTTCATAATGGTGGATTTTTTTAAAATATTTTTTAAGGACAGCTGAAGAACCAGCTTTCAAAAAATGGCGGATATTTTAATAATATATTTTGAAGGACCAACAAACCAAACATTGTAAACTTTTTAAGAATATTTTTTATGGAGCAGCAGAAAAATAATTTTGGGGTTTTGAAGATTTGAATTTTTACGAATTTATTTTCAAGAACTAACAGACCAATAATTGTGGATTTTTTAAGACAAAGTTCCAAAGACCAACAAAATATTTTTTATGGAGCAGCGGAAAAATAATCGTAGACCTTTGAAGATTTGAATTTTTACGAATTAAATTCCAAGGAATAAAAGACCAATAATCGTGGATGTTTTTAAACTAAATTCTAAGATCAACATATAAATATTCGGAGATTTTTAAAGACATATTTTCAACTGGACAATAACTGTGGATTTTTTATGAATAGTTTTTCTGGGGCTAATAGACCAATAATCCTAAAGGTCATTTTCTAAAAGGACCAACAAAATTGGGTTTACTGAGATTATTTTTTGAGTTTGTCTAAACCACCAACAACCATCGATTTTTTAAGAATATTTTCTTTCTAAAGCACCAACATAGCCATAATTGTGGAACCTGAAATAATACAGAGAAACCTAGATTCATAAACTGTTAAGGAATTTATTTGAAGGCCCCACAGTATTATTAAAACAACCACTCTTAGATCAATATTTGTGGATTCCAAACATATTTTTTGACAATAATCGGAGTTATAATCGTGAGGAAATTTATGTAAAATTTATTTCAAAGACTACCGGAACTATAATTGTAATTTAAAGAATATTATTGAAAGACTAACACGCATATAATAGGAAATTTAAGGGATTTATATCAAAGACTTGCAGGGCTTTAATGGTGAATTTTAAGAGTACTTAACACAGACAGCTATGATCTTGATTTTTCGGGGCTATCTTTCTAAGCTAATAAATTTTAAGGTATTTTTTAGGAGGTATCAGAGTTAAAATATAAATATATTTCCCAAAAACTACATATACCATAATG